CTACGCCACCAACCTCTCGCGCACAGACCTGCACTCCACGTGGCAGTACTACGAGCGCACGGTCACCGTGCCCATGTACAGGTACCGCCGCCGGGCACCTGCCACCACGCATCTGTTTCGTTTTTTGTTTTCCATTTGTTCTTAAACCCCACTTTTTGTTGTTCATTATTTTGATTGTTTTTTTTCTTTAAAATGTATGTATTTTTCACAAAGGAGTTCTGTGTGTGGTTTATTTCAAGGCGTTGATTCTGCCCTTTGTGTTAGAGCTGCGGCTTTCTTTTCACTTTCATTTCCTCCCCCGTTGCTTTATCGTCCTGGCCATGGGTCATGCTGTGTTGTGTGCGTTGCGAGGACGCTCCCCAGGAAGCTTGACAGCTCTCCCCGGGCTGCTCTGGACCAGCAGCTCGAGGTGCCCAGGCTTCATGAGTGGAACCAGCACTGTGACCCCATCCCCCAGCAAGGACCTAGGGCTCCTGCGTGGGGGCAGGAAAGTAACCCCGGCTCACAGTGAGGCTTTCGGACCAGGAGACTCAAATTATCCTGAGGGTCCCAGGTGTCCCCCAACAGGACAGAGCACACAGACAACCTTGGAGCCCCTCAGGCAGCAGAGAAGGGGGCCTAAAAAGTGCCAGTCGAGGCAGTGCCAGCAGGTCCTGTGAGCCTGTGTGGTCGGAGGGCAGCTTTCCCGTGTTTTTTTGTTTTACAAAAGGGCAGGTGGCAGCCAGTTGGGATTTTCGGTGCCTAGCTCTTGCTTAAATTAAGGTCTGAGATGAGGAGTTCTGAGGGCCTTTCTCCTGGTCCACGTGGGCCTGACCCCTCCAGTCCGTCTATGTGGGCACCACCCTGCCCGCCCGCCCGCCCTCTGCTCTGACGTGGGGAACTGAGCCCAGGGACTTCCCAGCTCAGGCGCCCTCCTCACCTGCTGCTAGGGGGTTTCTGTTCCCTGGAGCCTTGTGTGGGGCCTTCCCTGTGGGTGGAGCCTTCCCTGAGGGTGGAGCCTTCCCTGAGGGTGGGGCCTTCCCTGTGGGTGGGGCCTTCCCTGTGGGTGGAGCCTTCCCTGAGGGTGGGGCCTTCCCTGTGGGTGGGGCCTTCCCTGTGGGTGGAGCCTTCCCTGAGGGTGGGGCCTTCCCTGTGGGTGGAGCCTTCCCAGAGGGTGGGGCCTCCCTTCCCTGAGGGTGGAGCCTTTCCTGTGGGTGGAGCCTTCCTTCCTTGTGGGTGGGGCCTTCCTTCCCTGAGGGTGGAGCCTTCCCTGAGAGTGGGGTCTTCCCAGAGGGTGGAGCCTTCCTTCCTTGGGGGTGGGGCCTTCCCTGAAGGTGGAGCCTTCCTGAGGGTGGGGCCTTCCCTGAGGGTGGAGCCTTCCCTGTGGGTGGGGCCTTCCCTGTGGGTGGGAACTTCCCTGAGGGTGGAGCCTTCCCTGAGGGTGGGGCCTTCCCTGTGGGTGGGAACTTCCCTGAGGGTGGAGCTTTCCCTGAGGGTGGAGTCATCCCTGTGTGTGGAGTCTTCCCTGAGCCTGGAGCCTTCCCTGAGGGTGGAGCCTTCCTTCCCTGAGGGTGGAGCTTTCCCTGTGAGTGGGGCCTTCCCTGTAGGTGGGAACTTCCCTGAGCCTGGAGCCTTCCCTGTGGGTGGGGTCTTCCTTCCCTGTGGGTGGGGTCTTCCTTCCCTGTGGGTGGGGCCTTCCCTGAGGGTGGAGCTTTCCCTGTGGGTGGAGCCTTCCCTGAGAGCAGAGCCTTCCCTGAGGGTGGGGCAGGTGCACAGTGTGGATGGGACTTCTAGGCTGGGGTGGGGCCCAGGATTCTTCTTGAGGATCCTGAGTTGGCAAGGGTGGACAGACCCTTGGCCATCCTCAGCTGCTACCTGCCTTTTCAGGGTGTCACTTGGGAGGAGGGTGCCAGAGCCCTTGGTGGTCCTTGATGTTTGCAGTTGCCCTCCGGGGTCTGCCCCGACCCCTCCCTCAGCACCATCCCCCTGCACCTCCTGGAAGCCTGACCTTAGGAGCCTGGCACTGCCCGTCTTTCCTGGGAATGTTGGCCATGCCCCTGTTTCTGCAAAGCGGCCTCTCTCAGGGGCGGGGACAGAAGCAGCCCTTGTGCTAATTTTCTTTGTTCTATTGTTTCCCCTACTTTCCTCGACTATTTGTTTCATTTTCTTTTTCTTATCCCGTTCTTTTTGAAATTTTCCGTTCTTTTCCCTTTGTGTGTGTGGAAACACTTGAAAGTTCGCAAACTCAAACCTACGGGGCCTCCAGGTAGGAAATGCATGGACAGAAGCCCTGTGTGTGTGTGTGGTTCTCATTCTGTGTCTGGAACTGTGACCAGGCAAGCCCCCGGAGCCCCACAGCCCACCCAGTCTGTAGAGTGACCACTGTCCCTGCCCACCGAGCATCCCTGCACCCCTGCCCTGCGTGGCCCCATGCTGGGCGGCCCGATCACCCTGGGCCCTCCCCTGCCTGGAGCCCACATGCCAACCCTGCCCTCCCTGGAGCCCATGTGTCAACCCTGCCCTCCCCAGGCCCATCCACCCTTCTCACCATGTCCCTGCCCCCAGCCGCTGCTTCCTGTTGCCGGCCTGCCTGTGTCCCCTGTGGTCTTGTCCTGTCCTGCTTCCGGCCTGGCTCCCCTCGTGCCTCCATCCCCACCCCACGGGCCCCATCTGTGAGCAGAGCAGGAATGGGTGGATGGGGGGCTTCCCCCACCCTGGCACTGGGCACCCATCTGGGCCAAAGGTGCTCCCCAGGCCAGGACCTCCAGCCGGCCATGGGTCCTTGTCCCACCGTGGCTCACGGGGTGGCCTCCGCGGGCAGCTCACCTCAGGGGTCTGCTTCAGGGTCTTCTGCCCTGACTCAAGTTTCTCCTGAGTCTTGCCCTGGTGTGACAGGGGACCCCAAGGCTCTGGGCCTCCACCCCTGGCGTCCCCACTGCTGAGAGCGGGAAAAAGGGCTGTTTGTTCAAACTGGAGGGCAGTGAGCCGCTATGGGAAGCCTCACCCCGCATACAGCACGAAGGGCCCTCCCTGTCGGGTGGCAAGCTTGTTGCTCTGTGACGGCACCGCCCTGCAGAGCCTGGGGCCAGCCGCTCCCCACCATGGGGACTGGGGGAGGGCTTCCTGCACAGAAGGCCCTTGATGGACTCCTCCAGGGGGCCAGTCACCCATCTGGAGAGAGGACCTGGGCCACCCTTCCTGGGAAACTGTATTAGAATGTTGACTCTCCATTCCAAAGGGAAGTGGGTGCGATGCTGGGGCAGTGGTGGGGTCCCCGGCACCTCTGCCCCCGACATGCTCAGCCATATTATACATCTCCAATGTCTGCAGAGGGCCCGTGGACCGCCCCTGGGGCCAGGTGCGCTGGCGCTTTGAACCGGCTGCCCCCTCCCCAGCCTCTGCTCTCTCCCAGGGCCGGCCCCCTCCCCTTGGTTGCGGCACCCTCGTCCCACAAGCCCTGTCCTGCCCTGGCCATGCTGCCACCTGTCTGCCCCTGGCGCTGCTGCTTTGTGTGTTCGAGGCATGGCCTCCTGTGTGGCTCTGAGGGCTGACGTGTGTGTCTCTCATCTGGGCCTGTGTGCGTGTGGGTCCCGCCAAGGAGAGGTGGGGGAGCCACCTGTGGCCCCCGGACAGACACCAGCCAACCTGGGCTCTGCTGCGCCCACAACACCAGCTCACCAGTCGCCTGGGTTCCTGCTCTGATCTGGACAGCGGACTGCCCTCTGGAGGGAGGGGCTCACAGGAGCCCCACTCCTGCCAGCATTTTGGGGGGCACCTCTGGGGCTGTAGAGGGAACAAAGGGCCGTGGACGGGATGCGGGGCTAGGAGCAGAGGCTGAGGAGGCGGAGGGGTGGGTCAGGGAGCCCGGGTGGGGCAGAGGGCTCCCGAGGAGGGCATCTCTTTCTAAAGCTAGCTGGAATACTCTGAGGGGCACGGGCGGGTGCAGCGAGAGGCGGAGGGAGGGTGGGGGGGGATGAAGAGGGGGGACGTCCTACCCAGACCGTGGGGAGGCGCCTGCACGCTCACCTGGGGGGCTTCAGGGGACCCGGACCTGGATCCTGCTGGTGGCTGTGGGCGGCAGGGCAGGAAGATGGGGGTGGGGTATGACCAGGGACTGGGAAGGGGGCTCGGAGCAGAGCTGGCATCTGGGCCTGATGAGCCTGGCTCATCCTATAACTCCAGAATAAGGTTCCCTTTGCCAAGCAAAATCCCTTTCTGTATCCCCACCTCCCAACTCCTCCAGCTTTTGGCAGAGAAAGTGGCTGTGTAGAGAGAGGCCGGGGCCCTAAATATATTCAGGTGCTGTCCTTCTGGGATGTCAGGGATTAGAAGGGGGGCAGGGAGTAGGGCCTCCCCCGACCTGCGCGCCCTCCTCCACCTGCTCCAGGCTGCAGGGTTGGGGCTGCGCATGGGTGGGCCTGTTCCCTCCTCCGTCCCTCTCTGCTGTCCCTGCTGGTTGACAAGGCCCCAGGCACAAGCCAGAGAACGAAGGTGGCTCCTGGGACTGCCCAGGAGAGGTGGGCCTGAGCCCAGGACCCAGTGGGCAGCTGCCTGAAAGCCTGACCACATCACACGCTGCCGGGTGTCTGGCACCGCAGGCGTCGGCCGGTGGAGCTGTGCAAGCTGAGGGAGGTGTCCCAGGACTCGGGCGGGTGAGACGCTCACTCCCCTCTCCTCTCCCCCAGACTCATCCCCCGTTGAATCAGCTGGAGCTGCTGAGGAACCTCAAGAGTAAATCTGGACTTGCTTTCAGGTCAGCCAGGGAGCTCCCGGTGGGCGGGTGGGCGTTTCAGTCCTCTGGGGGCCCCGGCTGCCCACAGAAGACTTGCCCCGGACAGTGCCCTGGGGCCTCCAGGGAGCTGGGATGCACAGGGACGCTGGACTTGGTGATGGTGGTGCTTTCTCTTTCCGTGTCTGCTGACCTGGTCTGGACTCCCATCCCCAGACGGGCAGCTGGTCTGGGGGACGGGCAGAGAGGGAGGGGCAAAGGTTGACGTTGGACCCAGGTGTGTGGGTCGTATGACACGAAGTGCCCGGCCCTGGCGGACCCCGGCCCTGCATCCTTCCCGAGGGCCTGGTGGTGACTCAGGCACCGGCGGCAACCTCTGGCCTCTCCTTCCGGCCCAAAGCCCACGGCTGTCAGAGTGCCGGGCGCCGAGGTAGGTTGCAGAAGGGCCTGCTGAGCGGGGAGACGTGGACCACGCATTCACCTGCCAGGCCTGCCCAGTGCCCCCAAGGGGCCGTGCTCATGCAGTTCCGTGTCCGAGAAGCCTTGATGGGGCAGGAGCTTCTGGTGGGTTGGATGCTGGTCTCTGCCTCCTGGAGACACCTTTCTGTCCTGGAACCTGTCAGGACAATCTCAGATCATCCTGGATTTCGGGACGGGCCGAGTCCAGCGATGAGTTGATCTTACAAGGAGAGGGAGATGGGGAAACACATGGAGGAAGACAGCCAACTAGGATGGAGAGGGACTAAAGTGATGTGGCCACCAGCCGGAAGGCTGCCTGGAGCCACAGAAGCTGGGAAGAGGCAGAAAGGAGCGTTCCCCGGAGCTGCTGGAGGGAGCAGGGGCCACCGCCGCGCCTGCTGCCCGTCCGCCCGCCTGGCCCGTCCGCCCGCCTTGACCCGCACCGCCCGCCCGTCCGCCGCGGCCGCCCGCCGCCGCTTGGTTTGGTTGGACTCTGGCCTCTGGGACGGGTGAGGAGAACAAAAGGTCTGTTGTACACTCCAGCGGCACTGTAGTTACAGGAGCTGTAAGCACGTGAATCCAGACTTTAATCCCGGAGCCCGGCGTGCTGCGTGCTAAACACCTACAAGTGTGGGCCGCGACTTCAGAACTGTGCGTGACGCGGGGGGGCTTGTTTCCTGGAATCACAGGTCCAGCGTGGAGGATTTCAGCCCCAAGCATGCTTCACACCCAGAGTCACACACACTGATTTAAATGATTCTGATGACTTTATTATTTTATTTATTATTTTTTGTTTGAGATGGAGTCTCGCTCTGTCACCCAGGCTGGATGCGGTGGTGCGATCTCGGCTCACTGCAAACCTCTGCCTCCCGGGTTCAAGCGATTCTCCTGGCCTCAGCTTCCTGAGTAGCTGGGATTACAGATACCTGCTACCACGCCCGGCTAATTTTTTGTTATTTTTGGTGGAGATGGGGTTTCACCATGTTGGTTGGCCAGGCCGGTCTCAAGTTCCTGATCTCAAGGGCTCTGGCCTGTCTCGGCCTCCCACCAGTGCTGGGATTAAAGGGCAGGAGCCACCGTGGCCCGGCCTCTGGATGACTTTAGATGATGAAATTTGGGACTTTTTGAACTGATGGGGATTTAGATGAGATTTTGGACATATTTTGAGGTGCAGGCTGGAAGAAACTGAGGTGTCCTGAAGAGATGGTGGGCTCAGGAGGAAGTGGGATGCAGCTATTGGAAGCTGGAGGGAAGGCTGTCCTTGTGTTGTTGGTGGCAGAGAATCCGCCAGGCTGTGCACTGCTGTCGGGCAGAGGCAGAATTTTTAAGTGATGAACTGGGATATTGAGCCAAGAAGATTTCCAAGCAAAGTGTGGAAGGTGCAGCCTAATTTGTTTCTGCTGCTCATAGTAAAGTGAGAGAGGAAAGAGGGAGATTTGGAATGGCACCTGGCCGATCCGCCAAAAGACTATAAAAAAGAAAAAAAAGAAGAAGAAGAAAGCATTCAGGGCAGAACTGCTGTAAGAAACCAGAACGTGAAGGTTTGGGAGGTGCTCAGCCTGTCCAGCTTGCAAAGGGTCTTAAATTAGGAGATTCACTGTTGGCAAAGCCTGCTTTGGCAAGAAGCCCACAGGTGTGGCCAGACAGCCTCATAAGGTGCCAGGTGTGCGGCCGCAGCCTCCAGCGTCTCTACAGAGGCGTGAAGATGGAGCTATCCGGGAAGGACGTGCAGGGCGGCCTCTTGTCTAACGGCATCACGCCCTGTGACATATTCAGGAGGCCCTGGAGGTTTTGGGGAGTTTCATACCAGCATAAACTAGATGGGCAGAGACAGCGTCAGACGAAGGTAAGAAGGCATCGAACTTCCGGGAGTCTGCAGGCAGGAAACAGGCCGGTGGCGTCCTCAGCTGTTAACACAAGCTGCCCTTCAGGAAACGGAGAGCGACGCCGAGGCTCCCGCAGAGGCCGGTGGGGCCGAGAGCCCCCAAGGAGCGTCCCCAGAGCTGTGCCACGTGGAGTTTGCCCACTGTGGTGGCCGGTGGCCCTCTGTCATTCTCCCTTTCTGAGTGGGAAGGGCGGTCCTGCCGTTGATGTGGTTTTTTTTTTTTTGAGACAGAGTCTCGCTCTATCGCCCAGGCTGGAGTGCAGTGGCCGGATCTCAGCTCACTGCAAGCTCTGCCTCCCGGGCTCATGCCATTCTCCTGCCTCAGCCTCCCAAGTAGCTGGGACTACAGGCGCCGCCACCTCGCCCGGCTAGTTTTTTGTATTTTTAGTAGAGACGAGGTTTCACCGTGTTAGCCAGGATGGTCTCAATCTCCCCACCTCGTGATCCGCCCGTCTCGGCCTCCCAAAGTGCTGGGATTACAGGCGTGAGCCACCGCGCCCGGCCTCTGCCGTTGATGTTTTAAGCAGATGACTTGTTTTGTAGATTCACAGGTGCGTGCACGGAGGACTTTAGCCCCAGGTTGGTGCACACCCACAGTCTCACACACACCTGATTTAAGTGATTGCCATGACTTTAGATGATGGGATTTGGGACTTTTTGAATGGATGGGATTTCTTTTTCTGTTTTTTTTTTCTCCGAGACGGAGTCTCCCTGTGTCACTCAGGCTGGAGTGCAATGGCACGATCACGGCTCACTGCAACTTCTGCCTCCTGGGTTCAAGTGATTCTCCTCCCTCAACCTCCCGAGTCCCTGGGATTACAGACGCCCGCCACCACACCCAGCTAAGTTTTGTATTTTTAGTAGAGATGGGGTTTCACCATATTGGTCAGGCTGGTCTCGAACTCCTGACCTCAGGTGATCTGCCTGTCTCGGCCTCCCAAAGTGCTGGGATTGCAGGTGTGAGCCACCACGCCCGGCCAACAAATGGGAGTTCGATGAGGTTTTGGACGCAGATTCCGTGCTGCAGAGGGTGGAGACTTTGGGGGATCTTGGGAGGGGTGAGTGTATTCTGGACATAAGACGGCCATGAATTTTGGGGGGTTGGGGGAATGCAGTGGGTTGAATGCTGGTCTCCAAAATGTCCCAGAATGTGCAAATGTGACCTTATTTGGGAAGAGGGTCCTTGCAGCTATAACTGAGTTTGGGATCTTGAGATGAGATCACCCTGGATCATCCCAATGGGCCCTATCCCGGTGACAGCTGTCCTTACAGAGGTAGAGGAGGGGAAGACACAGAGACATGGAGAGTGCCATGGAGAGACAGAGGCAGAGACGGAGTGGTGCAGCCACAAGCCAAGGACACCTGGGCCACCGGGAGCTGCAGGAGGCGATGAGGGACCCTCCCCGAGAGCACGGAGGCGATGAGGGACCCTCCCCGAGAGCACGGCAACACGGTCCCTGCCACATGAAGTATTTGGAAGTGCACCAAAGAACCTGCTTGTAACACGGCATACCAGCCGGGGCACCAGCCCAGGTGTTTGGACGAGATCGCTGGGGCCTCCCCATGGATGAGCCGAATCACAATCCACCGATCTCTACTCAATCTGCAATGCCTTTACCAGCAGAAACAGCCCCAAGTGAGACGCCGGAAGGCCCAGACAGCTTTGCCTGCAGGGCGAGGCCGGGACAGTTGGTTGGTGGCACAAACCCTGGGCCTCACTGACTGTGGCGCAATGGAAGCCACCCCGGAGAGTCGTGCGGAAGAGAGAATCATTCCATTGGGATAAGCGTGGGAAAAAGAGTCGGAGCAGCTCAGTCTGTCTCGAAAATTGATTGTAAACTAAACTCCCTTGCGGAGCTTTCTTCAGCAAACATGTCCTTTTTGGAACTTTATTAATATTGGTGTGGTTCTGGTTAAAATGAGTGTCCGTGAATGTGGGGGGTAGTGACCCCCAGGTCAGAAGAGCAGAAGCCCCCGGCGGAGTCCCTCTTTCCTCTCAGAGCTGCCGCCATGGGCCCTGGGGTGCCCGTTCCTGGGCCGTGGGCTCTCTGGGGTGGGTGAGCCAGCTCCACCCCTGCCCAGCCTTCTCTGAGACCCCCTCCCCTGCAGCCCCTGGCCCATGGGACTGTGGGGGGCTGGGCTGGTTAGGGGACCCTCAAGGGTGCTGAGCGGGCGGCCACTAACTCTCTATTGCTTCTGTTTGAAGGAAGGAGCCCCCGCCGGAGCCGTCTCCAAGGTCAGTGCCCCTCGCCGCTGCCCTGGTGTCTGCCGTGTACACAACCGTCTGGTCTCTCTCCCACACGTTGGCACAACCTGTTGTGGAGACATGAGGGCCTCGTGTGTGCTTCCGTGTGTGACCGTGTGACTGTGTCCAGACCCCCGCCTGGCGGTGATGTGGGCCCTTAAATCACTTTTCCTGCTCACCCCTCCCCAGTGATTCGGTTTTACTTTGCAGCACTGTGGATCCGGGCAGCTGGGTGGCTTCTCGGGGGGATCCCCCACCCCGCCCACAAGTCTGGCCCCAGGGCTCTCGGAGGCAGGGGTTTCTGTTAGCGCACTCCCTCCAGCCGCAGGCACACAGCCTGAGCTCACAGCTGGCCTGAGTCGGGCCGGCCGGGGTGGAAGCTCCGAGTGGGCCTCTGGCCTTCCCTCCCGCTGTTCTGGTTCGGGAGTATCTGGAGCACATGCACAGACCAGGGGCCCCCTGTCCTCCGGGGAGGGTGGGACATCCTCTCTGCCTCGCGCCCCTGGGTGGAGATTCTGGCCAGCCTCCTCTCCCTGTTTGCCAAGGTCAAGGTGGGCCAAGGGTGCAGGTGCTCAGCCTGGTTCCCTCTCCCGGTCCCTGAGGTTCTGCGGGTCAGGCAGATTGGAGACAGGACTCGTGTAAGGGGTGAAGGATGGAGACAGAGAAAATCAAGATCATTTCACAAGTGAATTCTATGTCTGCCGAGCCCCAGCCCCCCATGCGTCACCCTGAGGAGGTCCCAGGCTTCTCTCGGCCCCATCCACATGTTGCAGAGTAAATCTGGCCCCTCCGGACCTGGAGTCCGAGATGGATGCCTGGCTGCTTCACGCCCGTGCCCCTCCTGGACAGGGGTGACAGCGGGCGAGACACTGGGGGGCTTGGTTGTGGGGAGATGGAGTGGGGGCTGAGTTCCGTTTTTCCAGCCACCCCACATCCCACAGAAGGGGGGTCACGGTCAGTGCCTTGAGCTGGAAAGACGGGCAATGCTTCCGGCCCAAACCAACCAAGAGAACCACTAGGGGCCCGTTCGTCCTCTCAGAGGCTAAGAAAACGGACGAGGGCCCAGAAAGAGTTGGATGGGCAGCACGGCCTCTGCTGGTGCCCCCCACTGCTGCCACTGCTGGGGCCGCGTCGTTCTCCTGTCACTGCCTCCCCCGCCCCTGCTGTTGGCCCTGAGGCTGGGAGTGGTTGTGGGGATGGACACTGTGCCCCCCACAATGGGCACCCTCGCCTGTGATTTGGGCGGAACCTCGGTGCTGTCCCAGAGTGGACGAGAGGCTTCCGCGCAGCCGGGCCCCATGCCCTTGCTGAGAGCGACGCCCGGGAAATGCCCCGTGCCTCAGGGCCCTCGTGCTCGACGCCCCCCCGCCCGGCCGCTCCACGTTCTCGTCTCAGCCTCTCTCTTTCTCTCTCTCCCTCCCGCCCTCCACCCCACCATACTGGACACCCGCTGCCCCCAAGCGCTTTAATCCCTGTTAACTGCCCTTCTTGGGCCCCTCTCTCGTCTGCCCTCTTTGGGGATGAGGTGCCTGGCCCTGAAAGCGAACTCCAGGTGAGGACACGCGGGAGCCTCCGGGCTCTCCGGTAAGCTCTGTGGCTCCCCACCCCTCCCCCGTCTCTTCCCCATGTGTCCGGGGGTCCTTGCCTGCCTGTGCCTCCCATGCCCTCCCCATGGGCGAGCGCACCCGCCCTGGCCCTCCTCCTGGGACGCCTGTGGTGAGGGACGTGGGGCTGCTGGGTCTGGGGCTTCCGGAAGGTGGCCTGGGGTGCAGTGGGAGGGAGAGCGGTCTCTGCCCTTGGAAGGCCCTCCCTGCCCGTCCTGGGGTGCTCACCTGTCAGGTAATGGGGTGGCGTCTCTGTTCCCTGGCCTGGGGCCGCCGCAGGCCTGTCCAGTGCAGGGCTGTGCTTAGGAAGTTGTTCCGCAATCATTACCTGCCACGTCCCTGGGCTGCTGGGTGAGGGGCCTGCTCTGTGAAGCCTGAGGGAGAGCTCGGCTCCTGGTGCCCCTCTGCTGCCCGACCTGGGCTCTGTGAGTCCGGTGGGACCCGTGCCTCTGCCTGCCCTTTGGAGGTGGAGCCCACACCCCACATGGCAGGACCCCGCTGGTGTCAGCTGGTCTTGGCAGGGTGGATGGTGTGGACACAGGGACCCTCACTCACTGCTGAGACCCTCACCCCCATCCCTAGCTCGGAACACAGGCACGTGGTGGCAAGCGACCCGGCTGGCGGGGGCTCGGTTCCCGTAGGGACCACTGGGGCTGTGCTGGAGTCAGAGGAGGCGTCTGCGTTGGGGTTGGGTGGGGAGCCAGGCAGGCTGGGGCTTGGGCTGCCCGGGGCAGGGGTCCCAGGGGGGTCTCTGTGGCCAGGTAGGGGGCTCAGGCTGTGCTGCCCCAGGGAGGTCCTGGGGGGTCTCTGTGGCCACGGCGGCTCTGACTTGTGCTGTCTTGTCGCATCCTGCATCTCACTGCCTCCTGCCCCCCGTGCTTGGAGGAGCCCCCAACAGCAGCTGCCCCCTTGTGCCTGTGTGGGCCCCCTCGTGCCTGTGTGGGCCCCCTCGTGCCTGTGTGGGCCCCCTCGTGCCTGTGTGGGCCCCCTCGTGCCTGTGTGGGCTCCCTCGTGACTGTGGGCTCCTCCTCCTCTTCTCAAGCACAAGTGTCCGCGTGTTTTTGGTGCCTGTCTGTCCTGTCGGGTCTTGGTCAGCATCTGTGGGTCTCGGGCTCGCCTGCCTGTCCGGCCTCGGGTCACGGCGCCTTCTCACACAGTGGGCAGCTCCCTGTGGCTGATGGGGCAGGAAGGAAGCCCCAGTGCCAGCTGCAGACCCCAGGGTGAGGTGCAGCTGCATGGGGCCCCCCACAAAACTTTGGGGGTCTTGGGGGGCTGTGGCTGCAGCGCCTCCCCACCAGCTCTCCCTGGCTCTCAGACCACGTTGCCCCATACAGGAGCTGCCAGCCACGGGTGGCTGTTAAAATAATGTGCATTAAAATGGGCACGATTAGAGATTCACTCTCGAGTCTCAGGTGCCTGGTGGCGACAGCCAGGGCTTCAGTGTGGCGACAGGACGATTCCATCGCAGAATTGGGCGGCAGGGGCAGCCCGGGAGGGGCCTCTTGGTCAAGGCGATCGTGATGGGGTCAAAACAGGAGACCTTGGGAGGTTTGGGGAAGCGGGACTCTGCCTCCTTCATGCTCCTTCCCCGGGGTGGCGAAGGTCTCCTGGGGCCCTCCAGGCAGGGGCTCTGTGCTTGGGCCTGGGCACCCTGGTGGCGCTGGTGGGAGTCTGAGGTCTTTGCCTTCCAGGAAGGCTTGGGTGTCATCGTGGCTTCGGTGGCCACAGTGGAGAGACTCTGTGAGCAGCCAGAACCTCGGGCCCCGTCCCGCCCTCGCGTTCGTGGTTAACCAGCAAACAAAGTCCGGCCTTTTGCTATATCCCTTAGTGCCTGGGGACCCCAAAGCTGCTTGTGACCTAAAAAGCGGGACCGGCACGGGGCTGGGGTGGAAGTTGGTCACCCGTCCTTGGGGTCTTGCAGGCCGGTGGGGCTCGCGGAAAGGGTCCGGAGCCCTCAGCTACCCGGGTGGCCGAGTGCTGCCATGACTGGAGCTAGCCGTGTCCGTGACGCCGCGTGGAGAGCTGCCAGCGGGTTTATGCAGGGACGCTGGTGTCTAAACACGCGTGTGCAAGAAGGCAGGAGGCGGGACACTTTCTCCAGAGCCTGTGTGTTCTGAGTGGAAGGCCGTCGTCACGCTGGGGTTCCTGGGGCGCCTCGTTTGAAGAAGTGCTGTCTCAGGAAGCAGCGGCAAAGCGGTGGGGGTGGCTGGGGCGGGGAAAAGGAAGGGTTCTTGTCGTTCTTGGTGATTTGCTTTCATTTCTGCTAATCATTGCATACTGTGATGCAGAGATAAATCGCCAGGGCTTTCGGGGAGATTCTTGGGAAAGCGTGCCAAGTTTTCTGAGCCTTTTCTAAGGAACGCCCGCGGGGGGCTGCCCCGGTGAAGGGCTTTGCACTGAGGGGATCCACCGAGCCCCGACGTGACTATTCCTCAGGGGAGCCCTTGAACCCCGGGTAGCCACGCCTGCAGCGGCAGCCACACCTCCTGGAGTAACCGAGACCCACCTCCAGCTGGGGCCTGGCTGGCGTGGCCAAACGTCACTGATTGGTTGCGAAGTGGGACAGCTGCACGTTTTTTCTCCCTAAAATGTGCTTCCGGCCCGGCGTGGTGGCTCAAGCCTGTAATCCCAGCACTTTGGGAGGCTGAGATGGGCGGATCACGAGGTCAGGAGATCGAGACCATCCTGGCTAACACGGTGAAACCCCGTCTCTACTAAAAAATACAAAAAACTAGCCGGGCGTGGTGGCGGGCGCCTGTAGTCCCAGCTACTCGGAGGCTGAGGCAGGAGAATGGCGTGAACCCGGGAAGCGGAGCTTGCAGTGAGCTGAGATCCGGCCACTGCACTCCAGCCTGGGTGACAGAGCCAGACTCCGTCTCAAAAAAAAAAAAAAAAAATGTGCTTCCCACCCACACCCTTTCCTGGGATCACGTCCATCCCGAGCGGGGCTTCTGCAGCGTCTGAGGCCACATGTATTATTGTTTTGTTGGCATGAATACTGCAAAAATAATACATCTTTTAAGACATGAACCCAAACTGTGGCTTTGGAAGGAAAAGGTATTTTTTGGAGGAAAAAAAAACCCACAAAAACCAGGGATTTTTTTTTTTCCTCAGGAAAGTAGGGAAGTGTTTTCTTCCCAGACGGTGGAGACGATGGTGCACCTTCCTCGCTGACCTTGCTTGGGCGCAAGCTCTGCTGCTGGGGACTGCACACAACACCCTGGGTGGTGGCGGTGCCTCAGTTTCCCTGCTCCCGGCCGTGTGCTGTTGCCGGCGGCCAGGACTAACTGTGCTCTCCTCATTTCCAGTAAGGGCAGCCCGTGCAGAGGGCCCCTGTGTGGATGCTGCCCCCGGACGCTCTAGGTATCCGCGGAACGCGCCGCACGGACTGACCGGCTGCTGCACGCTCCTCTGCCCCTCCCTGCTTACTAGAGGTTCTGGAGGAGCCAGGGGGAGGCTGGCGCCCCCAACCCCAATTCTGACCCCACCGCCCTCGGCGGGTGGCGGGCTCAGCTCCTTCTATTCCAGCCGACAGCTGCCTGCAGGGCGGAGCTGGGCGAAGGTGGTTCTTCTTGCCTCCCCACGCCTGGCGATGTCCTGCCACGCAGCTGGAGGGGCCAGCCAGGGGCTCTGAACCCAGCAAGGCGTCCGTGCCTCCTGGGGTCCCCGACTGCTCTTCAGGGAGCGTTCCCCTGGGGCTGTCACTCTAGCACCTCTGCTGCACACCTGAGGACGACTGAGCCTTCCTGGCTGCCTCGCCCGCGGGAGGCAGCTCCGTCTGCGTGTTGCCGGGCTCCTCAGGGTCCTGATGCATCAGAAGCCCCAGAAAGCCAGAGGCCCGCGGCTCCCTCTCCCAACAACAGGCCTGGTTTAGGGCAGGTGGAAACAGGACGGGGGAGGAGCCGCCCCCTTTGCACCGGTGGGGCTTCTGGCCTGCACTGTGACCCGCACCTCCCCTGTCCCTCGTCCCCTGTCTGGCTGTGGGGTGTGTGCAGGCCTGCACTGGGGGCCCCTCCCTCCTGGCCAGCACAGCCCAGCAAGGTGGAGGCGGCTTGGTCGTGCTCACGTGGGGCCTCCTTGGCGCGTGCATGCCGCCCGTGGTGCTGGCCTCGGAGGGTTTGGTGGGGCTGCATGCTGCCTACCTGTATCCACGCATGCTCCAGACCCTGCTCCACGGG